GGGGGGGGGGGGGTATGTATATAATTTTTTATTTAAATATATATATATATTTTTCCTTTTCTCTTTTCTTTCAAAGTACTGCCCACACTACAGTCCAGTAGGTGGCGGTAAATGCACCTTTAAGTTGGTTTGCCAACCCCCAATACAATTTAAAGAAGAAGAAGAAGAAGAAGAGGCAGCTCAGCCTCAGCGCGCGCTGCTCGGAGGAACGAGGAAGAGCGCGTGCAGCAGCACTGTGTGTCTGGAGTGAGGCGCAGCGGTGATTGCGCTGAATCTGATGGATGTCGGGGACGAGAGAGTGATCGCGCTGGTGGACATGGATTGCTTCTATGTGCAAGTGGAGCAAAGAATCAATCCCGAGCTCAGAAACAAGCCCTGCGTTGTTGCGCAATACAAGACCTGGAAAGGCGGAGGGTGAGACACGCAGCGTTACAGAATGACAGTGCCTTTTATTTATTAGAGAGGCTTACAGGCGCACATTTATTGTGGAGCACTAAATCTGGCCTAGATTGCACGGAGAATGAGGTTGACTGTATGCTCATGTAAAACATATTTACAGATATATATATGTTCAGTGTTTTCTCTTGAAATGCCATTCTTAATTTAGCATGACTTCAAAGTGCACTGAAGAGCATGCCACAGTGAACAACCTGAAGGGGAATTATCATTGCGGGTATTCAGAGCTGATTTGTTTTGAGGCTCAGAGTCCGCAGAATGAAGCATAATGTGACTTATTCATGTCTGATTGCTAGCACTGTCTTTTGGTAATTGTGTGCTTAAATGTCAAGAAAATGGTTTCTTTGCTTTATTAAAAATGAGCTGGATCTGTGTCCTGAAACTGAAGATGTGTTGTGTTAGCATTATAGCAGTGAGTTATGAGGCCAGAGGTCATGGGGTCAGCAGGAACATGTGGGCGGATGATGCCAGGAGGCTGTGTCCTGATCTGCAGGTGGCCCGAGTCAGAGAGGCTCATGGGAAGGCTGACCTCACCCCGTAAGTGTGCATGTCTCCTTCCTATCACGCTGTTCAGTCCCAACGTAGGGCGTGCAAAATGAGGAAAAGGGACACTTTTAAAATGCACGCGTCACGTTGGAAATGCAATCTTTCCATTCATGCTGGTTTCATGCATTTGTGACTGTTACGACAGTCGTTTTTGATTTGATGACTAATCCTCCTAACACGTCTTTCATAGGTGTATTCAGATCACTCAAGGAATAAAACGTGAACATTTGCTGAAAGTGTGCTCACCCTCCGGCCAGCCGAGATGTAGATGAGATTGTTTCTTCATCAGATTTGGAGAAATGTAGCATTGCATCACTCGCTCGAGAAGTGAATGGGTGCCGTCAGAATGAGAGTCCAAACAGCTGATAAGACATCACAATAATCCACACCACTCCAGTCCATCAGTAAACATCTGGAGAAGACTAAAGCATCGTTAACTTGAATCGGCTAAAATATGACTCCATAATAACGCTCTCACATCAAAATCCACCAGCAATTTTGTTTAGAACCGTTTTGGCTTGATCTGTGCATATTTCTCTCCTGATTCCGATGAGACGACCTTTTCACTGGAGAAAGCAATATTATGGTTAGAGGACTCGTCTTAATGATGGATTAGTTTCAGCTTCTGGCTTCACAAGACGTTAGCTGATGGACTGGAGTGGTGTGAATTACTTGTTGTGATGTTTTTAATCAGCTCTCATTCTGACGGCGAGCATCCATCGCTGAGACGCTGAAGCGATGCTACATTTCTCACATTTTCAGCAAATGTTCATTTTCGGGTGAACTGTTCCTTTAATTGCGTTGGTTTCTTGGGTTGAATTAGATCGTCGCTGTCTGACAGGGTTTCTGTGCACAGTTACAGGGAGGCCAGTGTGGAGGTGATCGAGGTGATGTCTCGCTTCGCTGTCGTAGAGAGAGCCAGCATCGATGAGGCATACATGGACCTCACCGGCAGCGTGCAGGACAGACTGAAGCACATGAGCGTCCAGGACATCACGCCGCAGCAGCTGAAAGGCACCTACGCTCAAGGCTTTCCGCAGACCAGTGATCCGAGTGAGAGCGCAGCGGTAGATAAAGGTGTGTGGCAGCAGATCCCTTGTTATTTCCATTGGAAAGGCTCGAGCGGTGTGTTGGTGTCTGTGCAGAGGAGCGGCGGCTCCGGGGCCTGCAGCAGTGGCTGGAGCATCTGTCCTCCGGCGGTCAGTCCTCGCGTGCGGAGCTGTGCTTGACGGTCGGCGCTCTGATCGTGGAGGAGATGAGGGCCGCTGTGGAGGAACACACTGGATTCCGCTGCTCCGCCGGCATCTCGCACAACAAGGTCTGCTGTATGGAAGCACTTCACTTCTCACTCAGATGATCTGGTCAGCGCTGAATAGCAGTAACTAGGACACAGACTTCACTCTTCACTTCTGATTCACAAACCTTTGATTCGATTCAGATCTCAGTTAGATTCCATATCGGTTCATGGATGTATATCAGGTACAAAATGCCAAGTATCAACTCGGCCCAAATCCTATTGTAACTCATTTTTAGATATAAAAATCAACACTCAAAAACAGAGTTGTATACTAAAGCAATAAGCCCCACGAAGCCGTGGTTTACAGTGAATTTATAACAGCTAAGTGGGTTTTTAACAACGCCCCTTAGCTGTTATAAATTCACTGTAAACCACGGCTTCATGGGGTTTATTGCTTTTATAAAGCGGTTAGGGATGTTCATTTTAACCGACGGTAAGAATTTTGACCGATTAATACAATAATTTAAACGGTTTAAAAAGTCATTTAATTATTTATTTTTTCAGTAATTTATCAAAATATTTAAAACGGTTCGTTGCATGGTCAAAATACGCTACACGTATAAAAAATGTAAAAAAAAACATAAGTCGCGGATAAGTCGAATTTTATTGTTTCATTCAGAAATAGGCCTAATGCCGACGCGAAATGTTTACAAACATTATAATAAACACCGTTCCCCTCACTCCACAACAGATCCTTTCAATTAACAATATTTAGAAAAGAACAAGAATTAAAAATATAAGAAGCTATAGCAATATAAACGACAAGCCAAAACGAATTCATTTAGGCTAAAACGAAACTGAAACCAACGTTGGGTCTCTCATTCCACACGAAATCTAATGTTTCCGTATTCGCGATGTATTGGAATGGCAAATTATTATTTATTATGTAGCCTAGGCTTCACTCGCGTTCCAATATCCACGTCAAACAAAATGTTTTGCATAACATCACGTCGATGAGGCGATAACACTTAACCATAACGGCTTAACAGATTTTACTACATAGTTTTTTTTTCCATGCGTTTGCCTGACTGTATTTTATTATGATAATGAACTGGCTGCATGGTCAAGGCAGCAATGCTTAACTGTGTGCGCGCATGCGGCGGAGTTTTTTTCCTTCTAACAGTGGAAGTTTTAGTCATAAAGCTAATCGGAATTGTACAAGGTTTGCCTTTATTTGTGTACATTCACAATAAAAACAAATTTTTGTGCTTTTGTAAAATAAACCTAAAGAAAAATAGGATGCGGCTTTCTACTGTTTCCTTTCGCGCAGCACAAAAATGAACCGAAACTGCATATAGGCTACTTGTTACAGTTTTTCTTTCATTTTCTTAATTTATTATTTAAGTCAAAATATGTTTCTCGTATAGGCCTATTTATTCGTTATATATACTGTGTGTGTGTATATATATATATATATATATATAGCCTAGCTTTATTATGTTTTTCTCCGTTCGCAGAAGCGTCGCAGGTGCGTGATGTGAGATGAATCCTCATGTTTGCTGCGCATGTAAAATGAATCCCCGGGAAACAAATTTTAGTATTTTTAACGGGTCACAGACGCATATCCTTTCTAATTTAATTCAATTCTCATTTAAAATAATCTTGTCGTTAGCGGTTAACAATCGGTTGTCGTTTAGGAAAAATAACCGAAATGAACATCCCTAAAAGCGGTTATTCCGTATACGTAGTTAGGTTTCACAAAATAAAACGGAGCAAATAAAGTGTAATGATATGAATAAAAACAGTATTCTTCCACCAAACAATGTAGCTCCTCAGAAACAGTTGTGGTTGCAACAAAGTGCTTGCCGAGCAACACACAGAAGTAAACTAAGGTGTGTGTTTGTAGAGTAATTTACAACAGCTTCGAACGCGGCTCAGCCAATCAGAATCAAGGGCCGGAACTATCCGTTTTATAAAAATATTTTGTACATAAAGTAGTTCTTATACAGTATGTTATGATATAATTATGCTCTTCTTGTTGAAATATATTTAACATTTAAATGGTGACTGACTGTCATAACTTCTTTTCATGAGAGATTTATTCAAAGATGCGTTAAACTGGTTAAGTGAATGCTCCCCTTTTTGAATTTTCATTTCTTCATAGAATGTCTTTTCTGAGATAAATGTGACGTTACATTGTTTACAGTCACTGAAACGGCGTTTAGTGGTAGTACGAAACACACATGACCACAGGCAAACGCTAGTGCGTCCCAGAATGCAACATGACTCAAACCTTCACATGAATGAGAGCAAAGCATCTTCACCACTAGTCGATCAAAACTGTATTTTTTCGTAGGTGTTAGCCAAACTAGCATGTGGTTTAAACAAGCCCAATCGCCAAACAGTTTTGCCACTGGGATCCGTTCCAGAACTCTTCAGCACCCTTCCCATCAGGAAAATGTGAGTGGATCACCTGTACTATGATATTATAATTCTCGTAGATGGGCCGTAAATGCTTGTGTGGTTGCTCTTCAGTCGTAATCTGGGAGGGAAGCTGGGGACGTCCGTCACGGAGACTCTGGGGGTGGAAAACATCGGAGATCTCACTCAGTTCAGCAAGGTCCAGCTGGAGCAGCACTTTGGAGAGAAGACTGGGTGAGAAGCCTGCTGACGGAAGAGATGTCTGAAAGAGATTCATCAAAATCAATACAGTCTTAAAAAGTCACAGAAAGTTCTGTAGTATATATATCTTTTTCCAGTTACACTCTATCTCATCTCTGTTCCTCAGGCCGTGGCTGTACGACTTGTGCCGAGGGATCGAGTTTGAGCCCGTGAAGCCCCGACAGCTTCCCAAATCTATCGGCTGCAGCAAGAACTTTCCAGGAAAAACCTGTTTGGCTACACAACAGCAGGTATATGGGGAAGTGAGATTGGTGTCAACACAGATGCTTGTGCTCTGGTGTAACTCGCTCTCTTGTGCAGGTGCAGCACTGGCTTCATCAGTTGGCCCTCGAGTTACAGGAAAGACTGAACAAAGACCGAGATATGGTGAGTAGTGGTCAACCGATATATCGCCAAGGCCGATATATCGGCTGATATTTGGCATTTTTCAAATATCGGCATCGGCCGATAAGTTTTTCTGGTTGGGCCGATGCGTTCGAGGCGGGACTTTTATTTTGATGGCGCTGAGAACGGCCGCGCCTGGACACAGTGCTCACATTCTCCCTCTTGCCCACCGTCATATTCATATAATTTTCACTGTGCGCTGTATGTAAGATGAGTGTTACCTTGGCTTTATTTGAAAAAATATGATTCCCAATGCACAAACTTCCCAGAATACTGAGTGCCCTGTTGGTTACAGTGTTTACTTACTTTTTAATTATATTTTTATTAAATATTTATTTATTTGTGAAAAGTACTTTATCATCTAAAGTATAACTGTTTATTTTACACATTTATTTTTTAATCCATTTTCAAATGATTTCAAATTTCTTGAATATTAATTAAAATAAATAAAATTATATCGGCTTTATATCGACCATCCTGCTTTCCAAGATATCGGCATCGGCTGTAAAAAAGTGGTCGGTCGACCACTAATGGTGAGTCCATTATCGCTGAAGTAATGCTGTTTTATAAAACAAATAAATAGTTCTGATTGACTGAGACTCATTCAGAGCTTTTGAATATATGTACTGTACAACTACAATTAATTATAAGTTTTTTAAAACAATACATATAAATAAATGAGATGATCGCTATGATCAGATGCTTTCTTAACTGCTGTTTTCTCACCGCTGTCATGTTTCATTATTGAGAGGTAAGAAGAAAGCTCATATTTACATCTTCCTCTAAATGCCAGCAGCGTCTGGTTCGGCTGCGTTTACGTAAGCACCGCGCGTGTCATCTTCTACTGGATTGTAGCCGGGAGAGCTGAATTACAGTCTTGCTCTACAGCACCCCACTGGTCAAACACTGTTATTGCAGGTCCTTACATTAGGTCATATGTGATCAAACGACAGTTCGATAGCAATAATATTTGTCAGCAATTTTTTATTGTCAAACTGGAGCACTGAATGAGTTCATTCATCATAGGATCAGATACGCCCCTTTTTTGGCTCATTTCAAGTCGGAGTGTGAGTTTTGATTGAGTAGCTTGTAGATCTGTGCTGCTCGAGCCGCAAAAAGCTCCAGTCCGATTTGGTGAAGTGGTTCATCCAGTGAATCGTGAATCACTAATACCGCACGATGTGTTTCTTCTCTTCATATGTGATGCTTCTGTGTTGTTTTGTCTACAGAACGGGCGGGTGGCCAAACAGCTGACGGTGGGCATCCAGCAGGCTGGAGATCGGAGTTTTTCTCGCTGCTGTGCTCTTGTTCGATACGACGCTGTGAAGATGACCTCAGACAGCCTGGCCATCATCAAGAGCCTCAACACCGCAGGAAGCCACCAGGAGGCGTGGTGAGTACCAGCCGCAGCCGATGTCTGATCCAGAGCCACATAATACCGCCATTGTAATGCTATTAAAATCTTTCTTTTTTTAATCAAATTATATTACTGGGACAGATGGACACTTTAAATTCTGTTCAGATGCTTGTTGAAGAGATTCACAAACCTTGTTTGTCAGCTGAACTACTTGAAGTCCCTCTGAGATTGTAAGTTAATATTTCACAAATGTAAAGGTCCACTGAAGTGCCTTGAATGCGCCGCGTTATTCAATGTGCTGACGAAATTTCAACTGAAACAGGTTAGATTACATGACAGCTCGGCCAGAGGCTTTGGTTGGACTTGGTAAAGCCGCATTTGACAGCTTATGACAGCCACAGTCTAATTGGATCTGATACGTGTTGTGGTCTGCGCTAGAGGGCTGCATTGGGATTGGATCCCACGGAACGCAAATCCCACAGGAGCGGCCGGTTTTACCTTTACTGTGGGCGGGAGTGGGCAGTCAAAAAAAATATATAGCGTGGGTCCCTAGGGTTGGGTATTGTTTGGTTTTTTTTTCGATACCGGTGCCAAATCAATACTTTTAAAACGTTCCGGTGCCTGAACCGATACTTATTAAAAAATAAATAAATAAAAATTCCCCCCAAAAATGATGGATTGGCCATTAGAATAGAAATAGAATAGAGAGTGCAAATGTTAGAGGGTCAAGTTTTTTAATAAAAAAACCAAGCAGATCAAATTAGAAGTAGCATTAGAATAGAGAGTGCTAGAGTTAGAGGGTCAAATGAAGATGAAAGAGATGTGTTTTCAGCCGTTTCTTGACAATATTAAGGACTACGCTGCTTGGATTGAGCTGGGCAGGTCATTCCACCAGGAGGGAACAGTTAATGTAGAAGTCCATGAAAGATTTATCATAGGTAGAATGCAAAATGTTTCAATACAAGCATTTCAGTCAAATGTAGTTTATGCAATATTTCAAACCTTTAACCCACTTGGGAAAATCAACCCATGGCAACAGTTTAAAAGTAGCCCAATTCTGTGGAAAAAACGCAGACTTGGCAACCCTGCATCCAACAAGAGCTACCGG